AACCAGGGAAAATTACTTCTAGGGTACTATCTTATCTGTACAACCCATCGTCGAGACTGATTAATTATTTTGCTTTCCTCAGAAATATTAAAATTTTAATCAGCAGTAGAAACTTTGTGGGCAGAGGATGTTCTACTCACTAAACAACTCGACTGAAAACAAGAAATATAAATATGACTTTGACGGTCGGCACGGCAGTGCAGTGACTCTCTGGTTACTTCGACGTCTGAGCAGAGACTCACTTGAAAATTCGGCTCAAGCTAAGCAGGGCCGGGTCTGGTTAGTACTTGGATGGGAGACCACCCAGGAAGACCAGATGCTGTAGGCGTAAAAAATAAAAAATAAGGGATTGTAAGCTCACAAGGTCCTTGCAATCTGTGAGGTCAACCAAGGGTTGCAAAATAAAATAAAATAAAATTCGGCTCAGCAGTGACATCTTCTCTGAAATGGGGGGGGTCCGACTATCAACCGCGGCATTCTAAAGAGAGCCCTGGGTGTGAGGGCTACGCGGACGGATTCGGTGTGATGTGCTTGACTTAAACCAAAGGACAAACGGGGCCCCTGCCAGGGAAGTGAGGCCACTGCCGGCCCCCCGGCCCGAGGGCCCCTCCGTGTCTCGGCGTCTGGGCCTTCTCTGTTCCCCCACTAAGCTGGAGCCCGGGTTAGGTGTGCACCCCGATCCTATGCAACTCATCGAACCCTGCCACATTGCAGGGAGCCCGGCATGTCCCCGCGGTCCGGACATTCATCGTGCTGTGAACTGCACGTATGTCGACGAGTGTGCAGCAAGGGCACCCCCATAACTGCCGCTCGGACCGAAACAGAAAACATTTCCAGCACCCCGGGATGTCAATCGTTGCATTGAGACAAGACCAAAAGGTCCGTTTTTAGAAGAAATTTCGAAGACACCTTACCGAACACGGGAAATGTTTTCTTATACACAAACTTTAAATGATGACATACGATAAAATGTCTCATCAAACGATCCATCTCACGGCGGGAAAACGAGGCGGGGATGGAGGAAGGCGTGAGGAAAGGCAGATGAGAGCTCCACTTCAAGGGATGCCCGTGGGACGCCCGAGGGACGCCCGCGCCCCGAGACGAGAGGGGCCTTGGACGCCCCCAACGCCCGCGCCGGACTTACTGTTGTGGGTGAGCAGGTGCCTCTGCAAGGAGAAGGGGGTCCGGAACAGCGCCCTGCAGGCCTCGCACTGGAACGGCCGCTCCTCCGAGTGCGTCTGCGGACCAGAGACACCGCCGCTCAGGGCGTTCCGGGGGGCCCGTACCCCGCCCCGACGCCTGCCTCCTTTTGATCCAAACCCAGGATGAAACAAACAAATGAACTTGTGGACATGCTTAGCAGCTTCGCTGTGAAAGAACCTGGACAGCGACATGCTTTGCAGCCAGGCTAACCCAACCAAAGCCACAGCATCGAGACACGGGCCTGAAGTCGACAGCGTGTTTTAAGTAGGAGCCGTCAGTGCGTAGCCAGGGGAGCGAATGCTTTTGTCACAAAGATGGCGACACCGCCGAGTTGCAACAGCAGGACGTGACCGTCTCGGCAGAGGCCCCCACCCGTCCCATCGTGACCCTCAGAGTCCATCTCATCTGAGTGAGGTGCCAGAAACACGCTGGCACGTGTGGGCAGAGGACTCTGTCTCCGAGGTAGATTTTACAAGCACCAGATGAAATTAAGTTTTTTTAAAGGGGACTCGGCCTTCCAGTTTTCTTCTCTAAAGGAAGACAGGCTGTTCAATGAATCGCATAATCTGTGAGCTATAGCACACCCTCCCATTTATATGCCAAGTCACCGATGATGCCGACACCGGCTGACACAACACGTGAACTCATCCATGAGCTCGTACGTGTCTTCTTACGCACCGAGTCTGATCACTGTTGCAGATGTAGAAAACACGTTAGGAAATTTGTTGCACTACTTATAACACCTAATAAAAAGTCTCAAAATGCTGCCTTAGGTTTACAGCATAATATTTATGTAATAATTACCAAATTAGCACATTTCTAGCCCTACAGACCAAATATTAATTTCATGAGAGAAGAATAAAATTTTCTCCAGGGCCATTCACAATTAAAAACGATAACCTCGACTGTCAGTAATATATATTGCTCCACAGTGACAGATTTACTAGAAATGGAATTCTTCTTTGGGTCAAGTACAAAGCAAGAACACTTTCATGAAATTCAGGAAAAATACAGAGATATTAAAAAAAGAAAAAATTTGGAGAAAATATCCCAGAGATATGTGGTTAGAACTATTCTTTTTCAAAAAGGATGTCTCAAAAGTCTGCATATCATAAGCATATTACTGTCACACTGGATCACACAATAAACCTAAAGCCACAGAAAATGTGTCATCAGGCTGATTACAGGGTCTGTGAAATAATTTTGTTACTGTGAGGTTTGTAACTGGCTTCTTTAAAAGGCCTCCTTCTCACGAAAATGAATGGAAACCGGAGAGAGATGGAAGAAACCAGTTTCTTTAAGCTCAGAACGAGAGAAGGTGGTTCGTTTCTCAGAGGGAAGCACGATTATGACACGCAGGTGATGCCCGCGGAGAACGTCCGCTCTGCCTGGCCGAGCCCGACCTTTTCACTGCCTGAAAGTCACGACTCCATTAGCACGAAGCCATGATCCCGGAGCCTTGATTAACCCTGACCAGGGCACAGGGAATGCGCATATATGTGAAGATAGCAGATATATCACAGTATTTTCTACATAAAAGTAGGCATCTTAACCTCGGTAACGTCATAAATCATAACTATGCCAGCTTCTCTGGCAGATCCACGACTCCATTAGCACGAAGCCGTGATCCCGGAGCCAACCACGAAATCCCACAGCCTCGATTAACCCTGACCAGGGCACAGGATGCGCATATATGTGAAGATAGCAGATACATCACAGTATTTGGAAGGCAGCATTTTCTACATAAAAGTAGGCATCTTAACCTCAATAACATCATAAATCATAACTATGCCAGCTTCTCTGGCAGATAATTTGCTAGGCACGATGGCTAGATCGACTGGTAATTCTACACTGAACTTTATGTGCCCTCCAAAGAGAAACAAGTACAGATTCCTAAAATACAAACAGAAAACCAAACAACAATGGAACAATTCCACTCCTATCAAAAAATACGCTCTCTAAAAATTCATGCCAGTTCCTGAATAGGAAATAGTTTTCTTATAGTATAAGTCTCTAGAAATTAACAGATAATAGGATTCTAAATATTTGATCAGGCCAGATAGATATATGATAGATAGATAGATGATACAGATAGATAGATGAGAGAGAGAGAGAGAGAGAGAGAGAGAGATAGTGGATGGATGGATGGATGGATGGATGGATGGATGGATGGAAGAGAAAGAGAGAGGGAGAGAGAGAGAGAGGTGTTTGTTTATAAGCCACCACCCAAATATCTAAGTGTCAACATCACCAGAGGACATATTCTCAATGAAACTTCGTAAAAACTAATCCATTTTTCAACATAATACAGATGTAAACTAAAACCAAAAGATGAAAGTTTAGAGTCAGTTTCTTATTTTAAGTATAAAACATACAAGACAGGATACCAGGTTCAAAACTTATATTCTACTGAAAATACTGCACTTCAGCATATTATAATTTTAAAGTTCTCATTCATACGTTTCTCGCTTTCACTGTTTCGCGTTTGTGTCATTTTCTAGTACGGTACAAATTGTTATAGAAGAGAGAGGAGTGTCTTTTTTTTCAAAAATGCAATAATTATCCATTTATTTTAACTCAGCTTCTAAATTTCTATTGCCTACTCGCTAAGATGGTGGACATCATTTAAAATTTCCATGTTACAACTAAATGTTTTAATACATGAAAAATGTGAAATATAATCAAACTAGAGAATTGATTTAATGATTCTAGAGGAAAATGATCTACGTTTTTGTTTCCTGCTTTTTCTACAAAATAAAGGGAGAAAGAACAAAATATGTCTGAATGAAATCAAGTATTTACATTAAGTATTTTTAAGAATTTCTGTGACGAAGGGATGTTTTTTAATATATGATACTGATCTCAAGAGAACATAAAGGAAGCAGAGGTAAACAGTCTACTTGCTAACGTTAATGTGCCTAAAACGCCACGTAAAACACTTGAGTCAAACTACAAAGGAGGCCTGAACCCACAGATATTAAAACATACCACGAACTGCAAATATTAAAAGAACGTGATATTGCAAGGGAACAGAAATTAAATGGAACAGAATGGAGTCCAAAAACAGATTTCTATGAGAGAAATTCCACAATGTGATCGCCGTGGTTTTACGAAACGGTATCTCGTTCCATACCCCAAAATAAATTCTTGATGGATTAAAATACTAATAAAAAAAAAAAGAAACTCATGTGACTTTTGAAAACATTGATGAATATCTACCTAATCTTGGAGTAAGAAAAACTCAGAAGCCAAGACTCGGGGGCCACAAAACTCATAATTCACCTCATATCTGAAAACATAAAAATGTAAAACTTCTTTACTCAAAAGATGCAAGTTGATAGACGGGGCAAATATCAGAAACGAAAATAGCACAGAATTAATATTCATAATATCTACAGAGCTCCTAGAAATAAGTGAGGGAACATCTAAACAGTCCAACAGAAAAACGGACAGCAAGCACCCACAAGCACGTCTCAGGCGGAATGTCAGTCTCCAAGTCACGACGTCAAAGCGGAGACGTTCCTTCCTGAAGGACACTTAAGTCACACAACCCCGTACATCTGAATATCCTTAACTCCGGGACGGGCAGGTGAAACCTTGTACTTTTCTCCCGGCTCCACCCAAAAGAACTTCCTCTCACACAGAATCAGGGCGAGAGGTGGGGGTTCTGGGAGGTACCTCGAAAGCTGCAGCATTTCACACGGAAAATTCCCCTTGGGTCCCACACTTTGGACTCTCTCTCACGCTCCCTTTCCAGGGGTCACCTTCCCCGGTTCCCACCCCCACCTACCCAGCTCTGCCAGCAACCTCTGCCCTCAGCTTCTCATTTCTCACCTCCCTGCTCCAACCCATCCCTTACGGTGACGATGCCAAAGGCCCTGCAGAGGATGACAATACCCTCTGGGTACCGGGGTGGCCAGCCTTTGAATGCAGTGGTCGATGTGGTAATAATTAACCAAATTATTTGTACAAATAATGTGCCCAGTTTCTAATGCATTCGAGAAAGCCCAGAGTATTCCCGGGGGAGGGGACTGGAACTGTGGCAGGAAGGAGACAGTGGCCAGTGACAGGGATTGTAACCTCGGCTGCATAACTGATTACCATGTGTTCCTGTGTGATTCTCAGGATTTATTCTCATGTCTACTGCAAAGGAAAAAAAAAAAAGCCAAAAAACTGTAATTAAATTAAAAATAAAGAGACCTCCCCTCCCTCTCTTCCAACATTTCCCTTCGCGGCTGTGAGAGCCGGGGGTGCGCACTCCACCAGGCTGGTCACGTGAATGGCTTCTGAAACCCCAGGCCGGGCGGGAACCCCAGTCAGGAGGGCAAAGGCGAAGTTCCATGCCCGGTGGGCTCGGAGCAGAGCTCGGGGCTGAAGCGCTAAGGCAGAGAGCAAGATTTAGAGGCGAGAGCGTTGGGGGCCAGGCCCGTGCCAACAGGCCGGGCATGAAGGGGGCTCTGAAGCAGCCACGTGGTTCAGACAAACACCAGGAGGTACATTCTTTGCCATGGCTCTGGAATTCGTATTTGGGGGTGGGCGGCATGGGAGTGGGGCGGGCAGGAGGGAGCTGGGAGGGAGGCTCCTCTATCAGTCAGAGAATGAGAGGGACTTTCTGACCTGGCAGCGAGCTCCAAGCCAAACATTCGTCTCGGAGCCAGGAAAGCGTTCAGAATAGTAGAATATGAGAACAATGCAGTGTGTTCGAACAATAAGTTTTACTTAAGCACTTAGCTCTCTCAGGCTAATCCACTGCGTTGGTGCGGAAGGGATGCGGTGATTTGCCAGTGCACCCCTGATCACTAACACCGTCACGAAGTCAGGAAAGCAAGCATGACAAAGCAGGACTGTGAATGTGGCCGCGGACACCGCAGACGCAGATTCAGAAGCGACCCTTTCTCACGTCGCGACCGCTGTTTAACGAAGAACCTGAAATCTTATTCTGGGGGGATAATCTTTTCATGGATTTATCTACTCAGAAGATGTCTGCCACTGAAAAGTGAGCATCTCACCGCTGCGAATGTGCTTCTAGAATACAGAGATAAGTGATTCTGAACACGGCACCTTCAAGGAACCACCTACTGCTTCGCCTACAGCGTAGAAGTGAAAGCTGATGCAAATTTGAAGGAAAAAGTGTCTGTGATGGAATTATTGCATGACTGTCTTTTAGACTCCAAATTGGCACCTTCCTAAGAGATTTTCAAGGACTTCTTTTTTTTTTTTTTAACTCTGTAAAACTCATGCCATATATTATGGTTTAGACCTTAATCCATGATTTACTTAGAGAAAGGTCTATCCTTTCTTTTAAGGTCTAATAAAATTTCACCTGGTCAAAGTCTGTCCTGCAGTGTCTTTCAAATTGTTGGACCATCACCAAAGAAATACGTTTTACAACAAAATCCAACACGTGTGTACACACACACACAAATACACACGGACCCGTGTTATTTCATTAAATGGCCCTTATTCTTACACTTTCTGCTCTATTTTTAATAGCTGTGCATGACCCCATAAATTGACTTCGGACCCATAAGGCGGCCACGGCCCAGGCTGTGGAAGTCGCTGGGTGAGCTGTTGACACAGGAAGCCCAGTGGGACCATTCCAGGACAGCCTGTGACTGCAGTGCCTCGTAGGTCTTTAAAGTTTGCCTCTGGAAGGTCGTGTAAAGGGTCAAGAAAAAGAGTTCTTTATTTGAATAGACACAACTCTGTTCCCCAGGAGCTGGCTTATGACTTTGTCAGGACAAAAGCCCTCTGTACTCGCTTCCGCCATCAAGCGAGCATTGCCAGCCCCGGAATCCAGGACGGGTCAGGCCATCTCGACCTGCCGCCTGCAGCAGGAGGCACACCTCACCTCAGCTGGGCTTTGCGTGAGATCCGACAGGACACCGAGTGGAGGGCGGAGACTAACTGAGCTGTTTCTGTCTCTGTGGTTCTGAAACGTCTGTCCGACTGTGATTTAAAGCATCGAAGTCTACTCGGATCTGCATACCCAATTTTTATTTTAGCTAGATCCTAAAAAGAACTACCAATCTGGTCAAATAATTGTCAGAAAGGATTGGGGAGAAGGAAAACTAATTTTGACCTTTTGAGCCTATATAACTGGCAAAGGGATGAAACAAGGAATTAAGTTTTAGAAACAGAAAGCGCTCTTTTAAAATTTCACATATGACAGAATCACAATAAAAAAATAGTATTCCCTTTTCAAGCGAATCTAAACGTCAAAAGAATTGACCCCAAAATAAATCAAATCAGTATAATCAAAATGCCTAAGTTACATAATCAAAAAACAAAAAAAAGAACTGAAATTGATTTATTTAAAATAACAACCTCTGGTCATGCTAAAGATCAGTCTGACTCTCAAGTGGTTTTCTTCCGATTTCCTTACGTATCCCTAACTGGCCATTAATGAATAATGACAGAAAAACAAGTTGATTGGCTTTCTTTCACGTAACCCTTAGAGACCATTTCGGACCTTTCCCGTAACCATACCAGACACACGCTGGGCTCCTAACACAGTCAGCAGCACATCTGTCTAAGGAGAAGGATTGAATGCGCTTTCCACTTTGGAAATTATGGGCACCGCTATTTCCATCCTTCCCAAGACATCGTTATTACTTTCATATGATTTATGGCCCGAAGTGTGAGAGATGGTGTAAAATCCCTGTGCCACATTCCCACGTGGCACATCACCTAAGCCAAACTGCGAAAAACTCGGAAACGTGGGCAGATCAGTTTCCTCAAAGAAAGAAGCGAGATTGTTGCAAGGATGGAGCAGGAAGCCAGCCAGGGCAGTTCACAGCCGAGCGGTCCCACGCGACAGCAGTGAGCGTGCCCCGAACACACGATGCTTGGGTTAGACGCAGGGGAGGCCAGCAAGAAACCGGGCAGAGGCGACTCGAGACGGTACCAGTCCACCCTGTCCATTCTTTGGTAAATCTGCCTTTTTCCTCCCCCATTTTAGACTGAATCCAAAATCGATATCCTAACTTTTTAAATGATTTCAAAAGAGATGTCTCTGAAAAGCCCCAACAAATATGGAAATGACTATAATTCCAGTGGAATAGTCCAAGTAAGAAAACAAGTTATTTTATAAGATTTTATATACATGTTACTTAATAGCATGAGAAAATGTGTCAACCAAAATTAATAAGAAAACATTTATCGCATCACACATACATTTTAACATATATCTCTAAGATGCTGAATCTCTGTGGACAGAATTTATGAATTTGACCCAGACATTTTACATACTCAAAGTAGGTAAGATAAAAACTAACACAAGAGCCGGAGGAAAGGTAACGCGTAGGAAATGCAAACGGAAACCATAGAGAAGACGAAGAGATGCCTTGAAGAGAGTCCTGGGAGAAAGGGGGAAGGGGAAGTACGGAGGCCACCTGCATGGAGGCAGATGTCCAGCTGCGTGAGGCGACACAGAATGGACGGAAGGGCGGAAACCGGAAGGGTGGGTAGAGGTCGCGGTGCAGAGAATCTGCAGACGGGGTGAGGCGAGCTTACCACGACGCGCGGGCATTGAAAACCCGCTCATGATATTAGACACGAGAGCGGCATTGGAGTTGTGTTTGGGGGCTGTTTATCTGGTAGGAGGGACTGAAGTGGGAAATGACAAGAAACCAGCAGCCTCGCCAGATGGGTATCAACGTGACGAAGATGAGCAGTCAACAGGATGGGGACCGCGATGGTAGCGATGCGGAGCACAGGATCTCCAAGAACTACTTTCCAGTTTCAGAAAGGAGCCCAGACCTCAGAGAGAAGCAGGCATCATTCTGTGGTCTGGTCATTAACAGAAATAGGAAACTCCAGGAGACAGATTATCTGGGGCAAAAAAGAATGAAAGGCCATTGTGGGACCTGCTAAATTCATCGGGACAAAATGATGCTCCGTTATGTATCAAATTAGTAATAAATGTGGATCTGAAACTTGAGATTAAAAAGAATAAATCACTTGGAATTCATCAGTAGATAGAGGTGACAGCAAAAGTCATGGATGTAGTTGACAGAGAACACAGACATGGTCCAGCCACAGCATCCGGGATAAAACTCCTGGTGGGGTGGGTTGACAGCAAAAGTCATGGATGCAATTGACAGAGAACATGGACGTGGTCCGGCCACAGCATCCACGAGGATACAGTTGACACAGAGAACACAGACGTGGTCCGGCCACAGCATCCGGGATAAAACTCCTGGTGGGGTGGGGCACCCAAGTGTCAGAGGCACTGGCAGGAGATCCAGCACTGCCAACTGCAGTGACACCACAGATGAAGAGAATTTCCAAAATGGAACGTGAACGAGCGTGTCAAACTTCACAGAGAGAAGGAAGAGAATAAAGCCCACAGCCGCATGGCGCTGGGAACACTGCGTGGCACTCGGCCTGTGAGGAGGGCGGTTTTCACAGAGCATGGCAGACAGAGGGCCGCGGGGTCATGGCCTGAGGGAGGGGTCAAAGTCAGAGCAAGATCTTCTCTAATTCTCCCAGGTACAGCCTGCCCAGATGGACGGAAACTTCCTTAAAAATTGGAAATCAAGTCAGCAAATCAGCAGGGGGAAAAAGTGACAATATTCATAAGCTTTTACCTTCTTGTGATTCTTGTACACGTTTCTGTGGGCAAAGCCCTTTCCACAGAGCTTGCATTTGTAAGGTTTGTCTTCGCTGTGTATGACTTTGTGGGCGCCCACTTGGTCGAGCCTCTTGAAAGATTTATTACAAATCTCACAATTATAGGGTCGTTTCTCTGTGAAAAATGAGTGGAGACAATCTCATATCTATATAAAGTGAAGGATAAACAGAGAAACGGCCTTACCTCATGTTACTTCTTATGGATAAGTCGACTAAAACATTCAGAAACAACTGAAAACATCTACTGCCCAAGCCGTCTATGTTAGGTGTGTGGGCTTAGTCACGAGGGAAATGCGAGCTTGTTCTTTAGGGACCGATAGGTGTGAGCTTATGTCAGGGTCGCAACTCTGAACGCCAAGAGTGGCCCCACAGGGACAGACGTGAACGACAGACCTGCCCCCTGCTCAGTCGAGTGGACCCCACACAGGCAGACGTCCAATTATCTGCAGAAACTACACACTTAGTCATTGTGTCAAACCCACATTTATACAACATTCATGTAACGCTGACAACTAGATTAAAAAAAATACTGTTTGTTTCAAGCAAAGCTTATCTGCAGGCTGCCTGTTTTGACTTCCTATTTTCATTTGCCAAAATATCTATTATCTATCACCAACCAAAATGGATATTCGAAAACATTCTGACTTCAATGGCCTCAAATTATAGACATACTAAACTCTAAAAGAGAGACTGCATAAAGCAGAAATTATTTTCAGAGCTGTTTTCTTTTTAAATCTGTATAACAGACCTATTTCTTAAAATGAAACTATGGTTTTAAAAACTTACGTTTTCAAAATGTATTTATAAACTTCTCACTAACGTTCATCAGTACCTTACTGACACGTAAAAGCACCCAGAATGCAGGCACTGTAACTGCAGACCCCAACTCAGCGTCAGAGCCTCTGCTGAAACAGCACATAAATGAGCTCATTTAACCTTCGCAGCAGTTTTGAAGGGTAGGAACCGGTATCCGATTTCACAGATTAAGAATACAGAAACTGAGGCTCAAGGAGGAGCACGTAACAATTGAAACTTGGCTTTGAAGATCTTCTAAATTGTTTAGTCCGGACACCTTTGCTCTTTAATAAATACACTGTTAAGTAACTTATTTGAAATCACACGGCTAGTTAACGGCCAAGCTAAAACTAATAGCCAGGTCTCCTGATAACTACTCTGAGAGCTCCTGAAAATGACAAAGTGAATCTTTTGTAGTGACTTCAATATAAATGAAAAAAAAAGTGCGTTTTACCTGAGTGGGTGATCATGTGACGTTTGAGCTGATTGGCGGAAATAAATTTCTTCATACATTCTTGACAATCAAATATCTCATGAATCTGCAAAAAAGTTAAATTGACAGTTAAATCGGCTGTCAAAGCCAAATAAATCAGAGCTCAGAGTAAAAGTATTAACATGTGGAAAGTTGTTATTGCACTATGCAACCTATATATTATAATTCAGCCCTAATTTGTTCATACTATTCTATATGAAGTGAAGTTGCAATAAACATAAGTTACCTAGTAAAAAACATATTTAAAAATATATGACTGCACAGTTGAAATATATAATACTGCTGACTTATTTAGTACATATTAAATTCGTACTCTAAAAAATTATACTAGTATACATTCATATTTTCTGTTACACACACATTTGTAGAAGTGGAAATATGTAAGCTACAGGTAATAATATTCCTTTCGATAGTATTTTAAACTTAACTGTACAGAGTACAGAACAAAACATTAAATCCCATAAAAGAAGATACATGATTCTAAAAACCACTTAGCTCACAGTAAACCTCTAACACAACAGGAACACGACAAAAAGAAAATAAACAAACAAACAAACAAAACAGAATAAGGGGAGGATAACTTTAGCAAAGAACTGGCTAATATAAAAATTAGAACTGAATCTTAAGTTTGGTTCTTTCCCTCCCAGACATGACATCTGGGAAACTGGAGAGGCGGCATGAGAAGTGTGAGGCCAGTGTACAGCGAAATCAATGCACAGCGTCCCCAGAGGATCGTCCCGCCTGAAGCCCTGCTTTAGAGGCACCGATCGCCCCAAGGAACAAGAGCATCGCACTGTTTTGCTGAAGACTTAAAAATGGCTTTGGTGAAGTCCTGTTTTTTGCTTCGACCTCATTAAACGTAGAGCTAACAACACTAAATCGCAGACCAGCAAAGGCCCATCTACGGGGAGCCAAGATGCTGAGGCTACCCATAGCGAACAGAAGAACAACTCGGGCCCTTACACAGTGACAGGCGAAGGCAGAAGGCCCCGGCCTGGGACAGCAGTGGGGTTGGGCAACGAGGGGGAGACAGGGCTGTCTCCTGGTAAGTAGCCCCTTGATCTAAGTGACCACGAAAAGAGGGGACCGGGCAGGGAAACAGAACCTGCTGCAAGGCTGACGGCACCCAGGTGAGCAGTCTGCGCCTCAATTCTATGCCCAGCCTAATGGTGGGTGAGGGGCTGCCGACCTGCCTTCTGCCTGAGTCAGAGCTGACTCCTGGTGAGTCTGTAAACTCAGCCGCCAAAAGCAGGGGAAAGGTAGACAAACAGGGCAGAAGCAGAAAGACATCCTTCCCCTCGTGGCACTCACACCCCTGCCCAGCGGCAGTGGATCTCTTGTGATCAGGGATATGTGGAGTCCTGAGTTCCCATAGTCCCAGGGGAAGCCCGTGGGATCCGCACAAGCACTCAGAAGGTAAGTACCATGCAGGGCAGAAGAAAGACTGTCGTCAGCCTGAGGCAATTTAAAGGCACCCTTTTTAATCATCAAAGACCCTCACGGTGGCTTCGGCTGAATACCTACACTGGAGGAGCAATGGCATGATGTGTAATGTTCATAAAGACAGTAAGAACAGGTTTATGTTCTTAAACTGTTTCCGTAATACCTAATACATAACTTTTATAACAAGATACTCTAGAAAAGATAATAGGCCTTCTCAGCCACACATACATGAAACGCATTTCACTTTTTTCATTTTTAATATTAAATTTTAATCAGCGTATATAATTTTTAAAATTATTGATACATAGGTAAAATGGCAACTGTTAAATAAAATACTGCAGAATAGTATTCATATTTGTTCACTTCTTAACTCTCATGGCTTCTGAAACATGAAATATTTAAAGGTCGAAGTGAATGGATACTCCCCAAATTATAAGATACAGCATTTACTGGGCACGAAAGCATTTTTGCATCAAATATCTTATTTATAATGAAAAACCAAGATGAAGCTATTTTCAAAACTCCTAAAAAGGTTTAATAAATCAATCAGAATAAAATGAAAATGATAGGTAACGCTATATTTACTTAAGCTTAATGCTAAGTGAAGCACATTTTGTAAAATGTCCAGCTTTATACATTGATCTGGAGGGTAATAACTTAAATTTGAAGACTCAAATTAAATAATTTTCAAGAAGTATCATAATATATGGTACTAGAATGTAGGATAGTACATAATAATGTAGGATTCTATGCTAGACTATAATGTAATCTGTCATCGTCATAAAGCACCATCTACTGGCAAGATGAAATACTGCAACCAAACTCTATTAGACATTAGATGTATATGACTAGACGGCGTTAGTAAAAGCTGCCTATGGCTTGAGAAAGGCGAGTTTAGAGGAGCTATGCTGTAAGGGAGGAATTGCGGCATTGAGCAAATCAGTTGTTAATATTATGCAGAGACAACTTAGGTGCCACGCTCCACCACCACCAGGTAGGATTTAGATCTACCAAGAAAAAAAAGGTTGTATATTACTAAGAAAATAAATGGAAAAGAGGATATTTTCCACAGCACATGTACTAAAGCTGGATTTATACAGAGAAGATTAGCATGGCCCCTACGCAAGAATTACATGCAAATTCTTGACGTATTCCATATTTTTAAATGATTTTATAAAATAACCATTTGGAAACTGGAAAAATAAAAAAGAGTTGCATGACAGAGAAGAAATAAAAAAGCACTGGTCAGTTCAATGTCACATTTAATAAATGAGAAAACAAGATTTCTGGTCAAGATGGAGAAATAGGAAAACACTGTGCTTGCCTCCTCTCACAACCACATCAGCATTACAAGTAAACTATCATCGAGAATAATCTGAAGTCTAGCTGAACCGAAGTTCTACAGCTGAGGACATGCAGAAGAGGCCACCTCGAGACTGATAGGAGGGGCAGAGACGCAGAATGAGCTAGTCCCACATCCACGTGTGGCGGTTAAAAATCAGGAGGGCTATCTCAGCTGCAGAGGTCCCTTCTGAGAGAGGGGTCCCACCCTACACTGGGCTCCCCAGTCCAGGGTTCTAGTGCCAGGAAGAAATGTCCCTACAACTTCTAGCTGTTAAAAACAGTGAGGATGGCGGCTGAGAGAAATGGAGGGAGGCTGGAGTCCCAGATGCTCCTCTTCAAGGGCCCGTGCATGGACTTACTGCTGACAGACTCACTTGCTCCGAGCTCCAGGGCTGGGGCGGCAGCTCGAAGGTGCCAGGGACACACAGGGAAGAATTGAGTGGTCCAGCTGCATGGCCAGGGCTGGAGGGGTGGCTTCCTCCCAGAGAGAAATGCTAGTGGAACCCATCACTCCTTTGTTGAGCTCTCCCACCTCCCAGTGGGAAGACCCAGGCAGCCGCCATATCTGAGTCTCCATCGACCTGGCTGACACGGGTTGTACTGCCCTAATGATTCTCTGAGACCCCACCGTACCCAACCTGCAGGCCCACCTGAGCCACTTCCAGTGGCTTTTCCATAGAAATAACTTGTCTTGGCTCATACTGTGGACTTTCCTAAAATCTCTCAAATGTTCACAAACCCCAAACAGGCAGCATCTGGCTTTGGCGTGCCTGTGCCACTTGCTGAGCAGTACCAAGCCCAGCACTCATGGCAGCTGGCCTTGGTTGGCAGCTTAGCCTCTCCCAGGCACTTCCAGACCCAGCACAGGTGGCAGCCATCTGCGGATTGCTTGGTGGCTCATGCCAGTTGGCCCCAGGGGAGCCACAAGCTGCAGCTGAACTTGGCCTGTGGTGGGGCCCTTCCCAGAAGCCCCTAGGGCCTGCACGCTCAGTGGCTGGTTTTGGACCAAGCCAGAGCACCATCCGGGGCCTCGTCCAAGGATGACACATCCAAAGGGCAGACTGGGCAGGCCCCAGAGCCCTGCTAAAGCAAAGCCTGCTCCACAGGGTCACCCCTTGCACAAAGGCTCCACCAGAAAGTTCTCACAACCAATCAGCCTGGGGGTCAGTCCCTCCCACTGATGTGCAAACAGCAAACAAGGCCCAACTACAACAGGAGGGCACACACAACCCACATGAGGGACACACCTGGAGCACATGGCTCAGGTGACCAGGGATACTGTACCACTGGGTCCCACAGGACACCTACTACATAAGGCCACTCTACTAAGACTGGGAGACCTAACACATAGAAACACACACAGGAAGGTAGCCAAAATGGGAAGATCAAAAACATGTCTGAAATGAAAGAACAGAACAAAGCTCCAGAAAAAGAACTAAA